CTTTTTTTCATGTTGTTAGCCAACATATTTTGTATTGTAGCAGCCAACATGGCTTCACTAAGGGTAGATCTTGCCTAACAAATCTGGTGGCCTTCTAACATGGGGTTACAGCACTGGTAGATAGGGGAGGAGCAACTGACATCATGACAACCAACTACCTGGACTTGTGCAAAGCATTTGACGCTGTCCCCCATGATATCTTGTCTCTAAAGTGGAGAGATGGGGATTTGAGGGACAGACCACTCAGTGGGTAAGGAATTGGCTGGATGGTTGCACTCAGAGAGTTGTGGTAATGGCTCAATGTTGAAGAAAATGGGTGAAGGAAACACCCATCCCTGGAGGTGTTCAAGGCCAGATTGGATGGGGCAAACTAACCTAATGGGTGGCATCCCTGCCTATGGCAGGTGGGTTAGAATTAGATGATCTTTAAGGTCCCTTTCAACACACTGCTTAAGTTCCAACTTCCATTGCTTAAATTTAAGCAATGCTCCTGTTCTCATTTCACATTAAAAAAAAAAATAATAATAAAATAAATACCACGAGCCCCCAAATTTTACCTGTACATCTTTATTAATTAAAAAATGGCATTATTTTTTAGCTTAACTTGATCCATTTGAGATGCTTAGATATAACTGTACAATAATTAAGAATTGACTGACATGCACCAAATGGAATAAAGAGGACTCCAGAAGTAGCCAGGATTAAGTGCACATGATTAGCTGATTAGCCCTCATTCTGATCTACAATACTTTGTTTAGAAAAGAGTATTAAGTCTCTATTCCCACAGCACTTTTGCTAAGTAATTTATTAGTCCATTTTTTCCTCAGAGGGAACAAATTAATTTTACCAGTTATAATTTTATCCACCAACTAAAGAGCTATATCAAAACTTAGTCCATATTTCTGTCTCTAGTTTAATAAAGTTGGCTGGGAGCCTCAGACACACTGATATAAGTAAATATTACTAGAAAATAAATGTGAAAAAGATTGTTTTATTAATTAGCATATGCAAATTTTCCGCTGGCTTCAGTGTGTGTAGTATCACAGATACATTAAAGAAGTCACATTGACCTCAATTCAACTTCAAAAATTAAGGACCTGATAATAAACGTAAGCTGTTTTAGAAGCAGTTTCCTACTGAATATGTGAGTGTGTGCCATGGAAATCTTTGCTCAAAAGCAGCACTAGACATAGCTAACAGACAGCTCAACCTTGAAAGCTGATCTTAAAATGACCTGGATTTAGGCAAAGTTCATGCTTAAGAAGCATGCCACAGAAAAACAGTAAAGAACAGATAGAAACATCACAGAATAAGAAAATAGCTGATCAACATTGCCCAGCTGCTAAGGTAAGGCATATAAAACAACAGGAAAGGAATATGCAGCCCTGGAGTGCTGCCATACATTTACAGGATAAAGGGCAGTAACATGTGTGAGCAAATGTCACAGTAACCCACAATAAATCTAGTAGGAGAAAAATGGTCTACCAAAAAGTACCAGTTAGCAGAGAAAATGATAAATACAAATAAACACAACTATTTTCATACTTGTTCTGAAATACTAGTGGGAGGTAAATGATAGAAATATTAACTCTGAAAACTAAATAACTTAGGTGTCCTTTGTAAAGTAAAAAGTACATTAAAGAATGTACTGCTAGGGATAGAAGGCCTGACTTATACAAGTTAGACTATGTCTAGTCCATATTTAAGAACATATAAAATTTCAAAAGGACAACTTCTGGTACCGGTAAGATTCAATTGAAGTTTATTTTCAAATGTGTTTTAGGGAATGTTTTGTTTGCCTCAATTCTTGAGATTTTTCTTTATGTCTGTATATCTAAGATTGTCCATACTCTCAAATGCAGCAATTAGAACAGTTTCATTTCAAGACATAGAATAAGATCCAAACAACTAATGAGCTCCACGACTAAAAGGTGTGTGGATGTAGCAATCTGTCATCCTGCTGTGGAGGATTAAAAGGTCATGTTATAACAACAGCTTTGTTTCTGTCACACAGGGTGGTTTACACTAAAAATTATGCTTTCAGTTTCATAAAAGCAGTAAATGAAAAATATAGGCAATTTTCATTTTTTCACATGGACAGTTTTTTCACTGGTAGGCAAATAGAGAGCTGGTGGGATTGTACTGCTAAAATGAGAAATAAAAGACAAGTAAAAATCTAAATTAATACAAACAAAGAATTAGCTATTCTATTTCTGATCAAATAATATTTATTTAGCCCTGAAAGAAAATATTAATATTTTATTTACAATTCTGTAACAGAAGTGAGAAACGATCTTGACTGTACGCTGTCTATAGGATAGTTAAAGATGAGCCCTTTACTCATTAGATTTGTGCTTAAAACACTCCAGCTGGTGGAAAGCCAAGTTTATTCCCCTTCCACACATGAGAAGACTGGAATCCATATCATTCATTTCTCAGGAGATTGCCCTTATTGCGTTGTAGTTATTGTGGGATGAGCTGCTTTTGGTTTCTTCTGCACAACTCTCCTTCTTTATAATTCCTGTTTATAATACCATATTAATTGAGTATTAATTAACTCAGACCTAAGTTAATTCCTTGACCACAAGAGGTCCTATAGCCCCAGATTACATATGTATATAGACTATATACATCCCCTCAGGTTTACCAGTTTGTCTCACAATATTATTAAAAACAAAAACTTAAATGGGCTTTTGGGTCAAAGTATTTGGGTATTTGCGAAATTGTATTCTTTTGGCAAAGGTGAAATGTGTTTGTAAAACATGAAATGTGTTTTCACTGGTATATTATGTATTTCAAAAATACATAAGCTTTCCAGGAAACTCTTAAGAAAAAGCACCATACTTTGCTGAAAGAATAGAAAAGTTCAAGCCACTTCTGTGGTGGTTGACAATGAGAGAATGGATGCCAGCTTTCATCACTCTTTATCAAGAAAAGTTTAAGTATCTATTATATGTTTCTACATATATATATATATGTATACAGTCACACACAGACTTAAAATTGAAATCAAGCTGTTCTTTTAATAAATAAATAATCACTTTATCTTTCTGGAAAATCTGAACAGTATGCATTGTAACTGAAAGATAAATGTTTTCTTTAAACCCTCACAGAATGGGTATAAATTAGCTAAGTCCTTCTTACTCAAATTTTCCATTACATTTAGTGGAATTTCTTGGCACAATTTACAAAAAATTCTGGATTTTATTATTACTAGCTTGGTCCTGATGCCAGTGCTACAATGTAATGTGTGATGTAATTTCTTCAGGAGCAGTTAAATTCCATGAGGATAATTTTGTGTGTACCACACAACTTTTCATCACTTTTCAAACATTGTAATTATAAATGACAAAATAAAAATTCCACCAAAAAGATCAATCAAAATAAATAGTAATAAAAGAGATTTTTCTTAATTACTGAGTAATATTTGTACTACATCTCTGCATTTTGTTTTGTCATATATATTAAATAAAAAGACCTAAAAGTGAAGCATATTGGTGAAACTGGAAGATAAAGGATTTCTATTTATTTCTGCTGTTTTATATTGGTAAGGACACAATCAGAATTATTTGCAATCCATGTAAAGGCAACTCTGATTTTCACCAATTTAGGGGTCACACTACAAGTTTCACTTCACTTCCAAGGCATTTAGATAAAAAATACTAGCAATCTTTAAAAAAATATAATAGTCCCTATAATAACAGTCATCAACGAACTGAAAAAAAATGCAAACTATGTGTATAGCAAAATGAAAAAGAACAATTACTTTAGGCATTCATCACTTCTGTGTACCCAATAGATTTTTAAGTCAAAACATGCCAATACAATAAGTTATTTTGATCTATGAAGTGCACTAATCTCCCCATCAAGTCTATGACTCCTAGCAAACTAAATCACATTTGCAGAAAAAATAAGCTGTTTTAGTTTTTCATTACAAAGTTTTATCACCAAAGGAAGCTTCCGTTGAAAGCTTTAATTTTAATAGATTTTTTTTTTATTTTACTGAGTAAATTAAATTTTATTTCTTATTAAATTGGTTTCACCATTTTTTGTTTATTGTCAACCAAAAGCCATGAGTTTTAATGATGAGCACAGAAAATCACATAGCTCACAAACATTGCTATCTGAACTGAGTGGAGTTCAGAATTCTTTAAAAGCATTGCATGAATCAACAGTAGCATTATCTATATCATTAAATCCACAGCTAGTATCAGGGACATTTATTCTATTAATTCCAGGATCCACTTGTGCTACTGGCATGCTGTGCCTACAAACATTTAAATATGAATGTGGTAAACAGAGATTAATTTCATTTCTGTCTAGCAATAGAATAAAAATCCTCAGACACTGTATGGAACTCACTGTAGATACAATGCTAAATATAACCTACACTAACATAAGCACTCCGTTTTATGAATGCAATACATATCCTGGTAATTCCAGCAAATACTTCTTCTCTAATCAGAGGTTTGAATAAAGAATCAATGGCCTAGAGCATTAAGTGCCATGTAAAGGAAAGTTTTATTCAGATGTGAAAAAAGTCATCCTTTGCCTTTTTTTTTTTTTTTAAGAAAAGAATTAACATTCTCACTGTAAGACCAATTTGCTCTACAAGTTACTACATTAACCTTCTTCGTAATTTTCTTTAGCTGCTTTCAAAGCAGCCTGAGAAATTCAGATACGTTTTTCACTTACACTTGGAAATTCACCCAAAATGGCATTGTCTGTTTTTCAACAATCAAAAAGAACTTTAAAGTTTTTACTGAATAACATAATTTTTCTTCAGATGGTGCTTCAGAAGGCAACTGTAGTTTAGATTCATTGCATTTATGTACTTCAAAACCATGATTATTTGCTATCATATACAAGTTCAAACACTGAAGATCAGATTGTATGTTCAAACAGCCACATTTTTCCTCTATGGTTCCAGCCTTCTAAAATCCATGAGTTCTGTAGTTAAAACACCCTCCCATAAACCTAAAGAATGATAAGAGACCTACCTTAGAAAGTCCGCCTACTTCCAAATAGAAGCAGATAATGAAAACATTCCAGGTGACCCACAGGGCAGTCCACACCGTGTACTAAACACAAAGCCGGATGAAAGCAAAAAGACAGAAAAATAAAATGTGAAGATGAAAGAACTTTATACTGAGCAAATCAATAATAAAATACTGATATCAATAAGCATTGTTCTTCTGGGAACAGTCAAGGGCAGAGTTCAGAAAAGGAGTTTTCCCTGCACAAGTCCCCTAAGAATCACAGGAAATTACAAATCCAATACTCTTTGCTGTTCTAAATACATACTAATAAAACAGATTTATTCTTTACAGTTTTACACTACTCTACCGGTACCAATTAAAACCAAAATGCTGACTTTTGGGACAACTGTGAGTCATTTGTAAATCATGACTTAGCTCTGTTAATGCACATTTCAGAATAGTATAGTAATTTAAATGCTCTATATTCTACAAAATATTATGAAGAAAGATATAAGGAAAAACAAAATGTCAAAGAAAACAGAAAATCTATTGATCTGATATTTAGATCTTGCTAGAAAACAAAAAGGAGAAAGGTTAGGATATTTTTTTAAGAGTCTTTAAGTAAAAGATATTTTAATTAGATCATTATTTCAACTGATTGTGTCTGGCTCATTAGTTCTCCAACCCTTGTGGCTGTGAACATGATTCTACGATGCACCCTTACTGGATGAATGTATCTACATCACTTCTGGGTTCTCCAGTGCTTTACTCTAGTGCAAGAATGACCCTATACTCCACCCACAGCATGTATGGGAGATTAATTTGTCTGTCTTAAATCATCTTTTGCATTTTAATTGTCAGCATAATTGACTGGCACTGTTTCTTTATGCTGTTTATCTATATATGACAGTAAAACTATGCATAATTAACTATCCAAACAACTCAGCTCAGAAACATTTACATCTGACTAGTCAAGTGCATACCCAACCATGCTGAGGCTACACCCACATAAAAATATAATGAGCAGTGGCAGCACAACTTTACATGTATGTGCTTATAACCTTCACAATGGAGAACTGCTGCTAAATAGCTTCGCAAGTCTAATTAGCTGTGACCAGGTGAGGTTAATTTGCTATTGTTTTGCTTCAATACACTCAGAAAAACTTAACACCCCAATCTGTACTATGCTAGATCCTGTTTCCATTCCAGGCACATTGTCAGCTTGGCTTTGTTGGGCAGGTTTCAGTTATGTTCTCCTCCTCCTTCCTCTTCCTATGGCATACAATGATAGGTTCAGCTGAAGAGGGCTGAAGTTTTCCACTCTTTGATTACACAGGATATAACAGTTTCTGTACGCAGGTTAGCTGGTTTAATTTATTTTCTTTATGTAGTAATTAGGATGTTTGGAGATGTCTATGACATATGAAGTAGATCATTAATAGACAAAATGAAAGTAACACTCCTGGCCCATTTCTGCTGGCTTCCAGAGAAGGGCAGGGAGGCAAACTAAGGTCTCTGTTATAAATTAGACAAAGCAGTTGTGGACTGTGAACAATATAAGGTCTATTCATAAGATTAACTTAGAAGAGGATATCACAGTTTTTCCTGTTTGCTGACTTTGTAGTAACTCACCACAAACTCTTGATTTTCCAGCGTATGTCCTAAGAACATCAGGTGCAGAGTGCTCAAAATTAATGAATGCTTAATACAACGCCAGCTGCTGGAATTTCAGTCTTATTAAGGCACAGCTGCTCATATACAGCATATTTCTGAATATTCAGGAGAATTCCACTTTTTAAGAAAGATTTTTTCATTTGTCAATGAATGAATTTTATCATCATAATAAAAATAGGAAACGTATTTGATCTGCAGGCCATGCCAAATCTGTGAAGGGTCTCGTTCTGTTACATGGGTGCAATTCTATGGGCAATTATAAACCACACAGGCAAAACCTATCTGTTTTACAAAATCAGGACCTGCTCAGTTACATATCCACTTGACAAATACTGAAGGAGAAGTGATGATTCAAACCAACGTGTACCTTGAAACCCAGCTATTGTGTAAGAAAGTGGCTCCTCCAATACTCACTGAAGAGCAGGAATATAAATATAGGCTCTGTACTGGTTAAGTACATGTTACATAATTACATATTCAGTAATTAGTCCTACTTAATTTTTATAAGGAAGAAAATTATTCTTCACACTTAAAAACACAGCTTTTTGATCTTGCAAGTAGCATATTTTTTCCTTGTATAGCATCATAGATGCTTAAGGAAGACTACATTAATAGAAAAATTTAAAGAAAACAAAAGCAAGAAAGCAAAATGAGGAAATAGAATTCTAGCTATACACGTTATATTAGTTTTTCTTTTTGTGGCTGTGTAATACAATGCAAACATCAATTAAATCATTATATATATATATTTTTTATTTTAGAGGATCCTACCTTACTCACTCACTGAACAGCTAACTTAACACTTCATTTCTCTTTGTCACTCAGACCCTGCTCTGAAGACAGAATATTAATTTCCTCATGAGGTTTTCTAAGATGCTCATCTCTGTAATGTTAGAACTGCACAAACATTAACTAATTTATTTTATGTTATAAGGGAATGCTACAGCTCTCAGAATGCAAATGATGTTCTGATACATGCAGAGATTACATTCAGAAGTACTCGTACATTATAGGCATCCAATTTGAGATGCTTAAGACTTTGTTTTTCAGAACACTTGGGTTTATACAGAGCTTTACAATTTCAGTGTTCAGCTCCCAGAGGCTGAGTGCTCAGTATGTGTGCAAATCAGACCACAAGGTCTCCAGTCAAGAACCCAGAACACAAGGGGAAAACAAAGCATGCAAGAAGTTTGGTTTGAGTGACTTGCCTTTTGTCAAAAAAGGTTTCACTGGTTGAGAGCAGAGAAAAAAATCAGCTACCCATAACTGCCTTCATAGCAAAAGCAGTCCTTTATTCCTGCAGTCACATGTTTCATTGTTCCCATGTCTTTTGTTTTCTGCAAATCAAGTTTGTATTCTATAGCTTTCATCACCAGAAAACTGCAAAATGTCTGTCCTTTCTATTGAAAGTGAGGTGTCACTATGAAAATATTGGTATGCATCCATGCAGCTCAAAACTGAAAATATATAAAAGGATACCATTAAGATTGTACATTAATAATAGTTTTCCTTAGATTTTTTTTTTTTTTTTTGTTCACAAAAATGTATAATACTTTCTGAGCATTATGTGTATGTGTGTAATTTTTTATGTATATACACTTTCAAAGTTTAAAACAACTTGTAACAATATTCCATGATGTGGTATCACACTTAACACCTGCTTAGGTCATTAAAAGAGGAATACCTTATAGATCCATTACAAAAAACTCTGCTTTGAACTAGTGGAAAAATTGACTACAGTGCTGGTTTGTTCTCCTCTGTGTGATGGGACAACAGGCACAGGAGCGTGTCATGTGAGGTGTCAGACAGTTGCTCTCAGTGGAGGAGTGGTCAGCCTGAAACATCAGGTCCAAGCTGATCCACAGGGTTAATTTCCCTCCCAAGACACTTAAGTTAATCTGTTCAGGAGCTGAGCTGCCATTCAACCTCTCCTGCCCCATGTCCTGAACACTACCCAGGTGGTCCTGCTGTGTCTGCACACTCTTATCCTACCCACATCCAGCCTCTCCTGCCCCAGTTCTTTGGCCAGCCCCATTCAGTTCCTACCAGGCCCATCTGGTCTAATGCTCAGCATCAAAATCCTTCCCGTATCTGTCACCATTTTCCACATAAGTTGAAGTAATAGGGGGAGCTGTGTTTTTTTTTTTTTTTTTTATTATTTTTTTTTATACTCCACATCATGCACTACCTAAAGGTTATGTGGATATTATCACCTAACAGGTGCCTTCTGCTGAAAAGAAGCTAGGACATTGGTGATAACCTCTGCTGCTTTCTCCCCAGAATGCACTGTATGTTTTCTTACTTTTGGACTTTTGCCCTAGGAATGTTTGGGGTGAGGTAGTATTTGGTGTCCTGTAAGTTATGCAGAGAGTGTACTCCCTAAACATCACAGGTTAAATTAGTATTCATCCCAGGAGATTCCTTTCAGATCCCTTCTTAATGCCAGGCTCCTTGTAACAGGATGCCTCTTGTGCCTCTACAGGTCACTTGCACACTGAAAGTGTTGCAGGGATACCTTTCGTACACCAGTGAAATATAACCACTTCCAGAGTTAAACCATTGCTATTGGATGGGCACAATGTCACAAATAGAAAGGGTTAAGGACAGTTGTGAAGGATGGTTTGTTAAATTGAAAGATAAGAGAGAAAAGGGAAATGTCTAAGTCTGAATATTACAAGGGTTGTGGGATAACTTTAGCTTTAATGAATAATCTCAGCACCTCTTCTGATGTAGTGTCTTGGCATTAGCAGAAATAAATGTTGGCTCAGAGATGCTTCAAGGGAAAGGCAGCAACTACTGAATCATCAGATCTTCTTCTATTAGGTACCTGGCTATGCCTCTGAGGCACCACTACTTACACAGCCCTGCTTAGCTGTATTTGTGGATGACAAGGAAAGTGGCATAAATCAACATGATGGAACAGTAACAACTCAGGACTTACAGAAATGGTATTCAAGGAATAATTCTGGATATCTAAATATTTCACGTGTTTTGAAACAGCAAGAGTCTTTGTACAGCATTTGCTTGAATACTGTGAAAAGCAGTCTTGTATACTGTCCAGCCTTCTTTTTTTTTTAGAGAAACTGCTTTTTCAGGTGTACAGATTGCCTATATATAATATTATTTATTGGAATAAATTACAGCAAGTAAAGAAGAGATTTATTCTTTCTATTCCCCTTATATGAGTGCTTTATTTTCATCTCTCACTGTTCATTAATACATTCATGTTCAGCTTTGGGCCAGGTTTGTGCAATTTAATCTATATGACTCATCGTTCGGAAAGCTTTTGAAGTCCCATATCAGAAATAGAAAGAGGGAAAAAAAGACAACTTTAACAAGTATCCTATCATTATCTTTAATCAATTTTAACAGCTTGAAAATCTTGCTGGTGATAGCAAGTTCTATCAAAAAAAGGAAAAGCATGCACAGGGAAACAGATCACAGCAAAGCTCTGGAGCTGTGTGACCAGTGTATTACGCTGTAGTTAGAATTCAGATTTAACTGTTTTTTTGTTTGTTTTTTTTCTTCTTTGCAAATGTTTGTTGTGTAAATTTCAGATGAGCCAATATGGGAAAATTAAGAATCAGCTCAGCATTTTTATGTCTCCTGGGAACTTTCCACTGATTTAATTCAGCCACAAACTATTCAAGTACTGAAAATAACACAACTGCTTAGTGACAGGACAAATTGTTCACAAGAATTGATCTACATTAGAAATTAATATAAAAACTATTAAAAATAATTTTTATATTTTAAACTAATTAGGGCATTTGAAGTTAATGTTATTTCTCTCTCTGTGTTTCCTAAGCTGTTCTGAGGACTCCGAATTTTACTTATGAGCAAGTGAAATTCCAGATTTATTTCAGAATGACCATTTTTATAGTCCTGTATCCGAAGGCCAGTAGACTAAGAATGTCAGACACAACCTTTATTTACTTGGAATGACTTTTACTTCACAGTGGCTATGTTTATACTGTTGTCAAATCAATTACTACAGCTTATGTAGTTACTAAATGCTAGTGTTAAACTAGCAAGCTTGGGTTTAATGACAGTGGGAGGGGCAGAAGCATCCAGCTGCTTTTGAGTTTATTCAGCTTCTATTGCAGCCCTCACTGAGTGTGATGGCTCCAGGTACCTGCACCAAAAGCCTTTTCAGTTGTGTCTGCAGAACAACACTCTCATATTTGACTACAGTACAGATGTGTTTCAAATTATAGCCCTACGTGTAACACATTTATTTATTTATTTTCCAATCCCTGGCTTATTTTAAAGTTTGAGCAGAGAGAACATGGCATACTTAGCATAGAATAGCAAAGTGAAGGCTTTTGTGTAACTTCTTTAGTCAGGGAAGTCTCCAGTCACAGCCTTCATCACACAGAAAATACATTAAAGATCTCTTTAGGACAAAGCAGGGTCCATAGAGCAGGTCAGCCCAACTGAAGGTCCCTATAGAAGTATGATAGAATATCATAGGGACAATTTGCGGACATGTGCATTAGATCAATTTTCTGTAGACAGTTTACACAAGTAAACTGTTGTATCTGACATGATTTTTCATTACTTCAACTTTTTTTTTTTTTTAATTCTGATGAAATCAGAATTCAAAGCAAAATTCAGCAAAGATGATTTCCAGGGAAGTCTTAAGGAAAAAACAATAGATACTAAGAATACTTTTCGTGAAGTATTTGATTAGTCTTCCAATTAGCTTAATCTAAACCAGAAACTTCAGTAATCAGAGTACATAAAAACACATCACAATATTTCTTTAGCCAAACCCACAGAAACAAACTCTCACTCTGGCGTGGGATGCAAACCATGATCATATCCAGGAGCTTAGATGTGGCTGAAAGTACAGATATGGACTTGGAAACCCATAAAGCTTCTCAGTGAATTTAGAGCACAATTCACTACTCAGTCTGGCTAGGAATCTTGCTGCATTCTGTGTTTAAGTTACATTGAAATTCAGGTTGCTGGTGAAGATTTGCATTAAATAGACTTGAAGCCAGTGGTAAAAGTTTACTGCTGTAATGGGTGGAACATGATTTCATAGGGTATCAGAAGCAGGGAGGCAGTCTATGTCCTTCCCTAGGAGAGATGCCTTCAGATTCCTTTTTGTCTTGGACAAGTCAGCCTAAAGCTGGCACTCACAGGGGTCTTTGCCGTCCACACCATGCATTTCTTTAGGGCTTCTGAGGACAGCTGCTGGCAAAGCCAGAGGAAGCACAGTTTCTGGGAAACATGTTATTGGAAGATCCTCAGGCTATAGCTCAATGAGCACTTTAAGCTGGTGTAGGCCTTCACTGCTGCAGAAATCAATGCACTTGTCCCCCTCCTCTGACTGCTTGTTCCCATTTCCCCTCTCCCACCTCCTCCCTTCTGCTGGAGCAAGCCTTATAGTGAAACAAGTTAGAGCGCTGAGCTGCACTTAAATTAACACCACAAAAGAAAATGGTTGCTTTTCAGCTGAATCTGTTCTAGTTTGACAATTTATCAAGTGGCTGAAGTGACTCTTGTGCTGGTGCAAAAGAAGGATCAGCACAGGGACTAAAAGAAGCAGCTGAGCAAAGGGAGGATTACAGCTTATGCGGGTTTGAGGCATTCGATGTCTTCAGCCTGAGGGTGAAGCTAAACAAGAGGCTAAACTGACAAGTTTGTAGCTAACAATAAGAGCAGTCTTGCATCTCCTTCCTTCTGTGATGCCTCTGCACTGTTGTTCATGACTGTGTAGTCCCAATCCCCATCTTATGCTAGCCCTGGCACCAACTGGGAACCTCACAGACTGTATTCACTTCACTGAACTAGCAAAATACTCTCCAGTTTTTGCTGGGTTGGTTTTCTGAGAGCTTGGGATTGCAACTGGCTCACCTAAGGGTCTGGTAAACATCTGCCAAAATTGGTGGAGGGGCTGTGGAGAAGTATTCAGCCAGGTAGAAGAAAATGGGGAATAGGGAGGCATGTAAGACACCCCTTCTGCTGATGTTGAGCTGTGAGACTGGTACTAGACAGCCTGTGTACTTTCACTCTTCAGACTTCATCATTCCTAATTCACTGGGAATCTTTCATTAGTAGGAATGGAAACTGCTCTAAAGCCTTGATCTTCCCAAGTAACGAGTATTCACAGTTGCATTAATTGCTTAAATATATGCTTAGATCAGGATGTAAGTTAAGTTAAATGTGAGGAAAAAGTATATCGGTGGGATGTTTCTTTAATCACCAAGCTTTAAACCTTTACTTTAAAATAGTTTGATATAGTCTAAAATGTTCATTTACATTTGAAAAATATAGAAGCAGTCAACATCTGTTGTTCTTCATTCTGACAGCAAAAGCAGAGCTTCTACCACTGAACAGCAGAGCTGAACTCGGGGGACAAGAGATTTGTGTTGTTGCATTTCAGACACCAATTTCTTGTGTAATTTTACAGATGCTTACCCTCACTTGCTTCCATTGTCTTATGTATAAAATGAAGAACATGAAGCAGAAAGGTGAGTGATCAATACATGGATGATGCTCTGTTCTCCAGTGACAGGTATCAGATAAAAATGTTATTATTTACATCAATCCATTTTCAATTATTTATAGTCTGCTTGTGAAATTTAGCTAATGTGAGTGTAAAGAACCTCAACATTACCTTGGGTACAGTTTTTGTTCACATTTAAGACATAAAGAAGAATTACAGGATTTCAGGCTTGACTAGAAAAGATGAAGCCTTTTAAGCACCGTTCTAATGAGCCTTTCCTAGCAGACATTTATTTCAGTCTTGTGAGGAAAGAAAAGAAGAATAATAATAAAAAAAAAAAAAAAACACAACAAATGTAGCCTCTTAAAATCCATTACTGGCAACACAACTGAAGTGTTCCAGATACAGACAATGCCAGGTGAAAATGTAATAATCATCCATTAAGAAGAGGTGGTGGGGGAGCAAAAGGGATATTTCTGATGGCTATTCCTTCACAGTTTTGAAAGTTGTTGAGTTTATTATTATTATTATTATTATTTCTGGCTATGTTGTGAACATAGGAAGAAGTCTGTGAAGCTCCAAGTTACAAGCATCAGAGATAATTCACAACAATTTGGGGTCAGGGTGGTAAATACACATTTTGGCAAGTCAACTTATAGTTATATGTAAGTAAGAGCAAGATGTCTTCGTAACCCTTGGGTCAAATTGCTTCTCCCCATTTAAGAGGAAGATGTAGCCAAATATGACTTGTTCCTTTTTTATTATTTTTATTATTTTTTTTTAATGGGCATTGATTTTGTTTTTCTATTGCAAAGTGAACAATATTTTTACCTCTTTTCTTCATTTAATTTATATGTAACCCAATTGTAGATGTTCCCATGACCCATCCTAGTATTTAATTCTATAAAGAATCTTACTAATAGCTTGTATCACTGTCATATTTTTGCAGCTCTTTCTCTAAGCTATCCATTCTTATAAGTTCCAAAATTTCAGAAATGCTACTCACTAGTCTTCAATTTGCAAAAATACATAGGGACTCTGAATTTTCTACAGAAACAACATCCGGTGTTTTGAGGCCAAGAAGATTATGCATTGTAAAGTGACAAGTTTTAAAACCAATTGCAAAAAAAATATAATATAAATGAGACTTACCACAACTATATATCGAGGCCTAAACTGGATGGTTCCAAACAAACCCAAAATGACAACTATTATTTGTAGAAAATTGCCAAGGATAGGAGCCCATTGGAAACCAAGGAAGTCAAAGATCTGTCTCTCTAATGCTGCCAGCTGTAAGAAAACACATAAACAGAACATCCACTTTTTAATTATGGGTGACATAGAACACTTTTCACTTTTTGTTTGTTATTTGTACGAGGCTTCACTAGATTGAAATACTGCAAAATTCTGGAAACTGTAGTTCCTGGGTGTAGCCCTTGGTAGTGTTGTCAACATGCTGCTATCTGAAGATAGCTACTAGTCAGCATTCAGATCCCCTCAGAAGAATCCTAGATGTAGCTACGTGGATATATTCCTGGGAGTTCACTTATGCAGGAATTAAGGAAGCCTGCTGGAACTTCATTGATTTAAGGATACAGGCTGTGAGAATGAATGGCTGTAGAAAAAGTTGGAAGACCTTGGAATAAGCTGCTCCAAAACTGAGGGCCAGATGGGCTACCTGCATGCTGGCAAAAGCTGCTAAGATACTTTTGACAACTCCAATTTAGAAAGACACAGAAGCAGCCTAATGGCTCTCTCCCCACTATGCACATTGTACTTTCAGAGTGCATTTTTATAGGTGTAGAAATGAAGGAAGCTAAGAAGCATCATCCTTAGGTATAAATAAGCAGCATCCTTAGGTATTTCTGCACTTCTGAATATATAGAAAAAAAAAAAGAGGAAAATAAGAAGCCAGATAAAAAATTATCTTCTTGCTCAGCTCCTCCAGCAATTTCTGAATATTTCTGCTAGAATGCCAGCTTTATGCTGACAAACCCATTTTCTACTCATTCTTGACAATCCAGCCTATTGTTCTAAAGACATTAAACCCAGAGCTTTCCTGGCAGCGTACTTGTTCAAGTTTAAACTTGGTTCAATATTTTTCTAGCCTAGCAAGACTTTTTTTTGAGCAGCTAAACAGAACCCTGTTGAGCAACAACTGAGTTTCTGTGCTTGTCAGAATTTATTACACATCTACTTGATTTTACTACATTGTTACAAACTCTAAAATTTACTGAAATATGCACTTAAAATATTTATAACCGAGACAGATGGAGTAAGCATGGCCCTACGAATACCAATCAAAGTATTATCATATGTGGGTATTTGATGTAAAACATTACTTTCTACTCATAGTGGCCTGATTCAATTCTCACTTACAAGATGGGGCTATGTGTAGCTGAGAGCAGAATACATCCTTTCTATACAAAAATCACCCCTTATTTAAGTCATGAAGTCTCTATGCTGAGGTTCTTAAATATGATAAATCTAAACAATTAAATGAACAAAGGTTAAACCATAAACTTGGTGCAGCTCCTCTGCAATTAGTAAAGTTTCTCTGATCTTTATCAGCTAAACATCTGGTTGGGTATACATAAATAAAAAATTATCACACAGCAGACTATTAAAATGATAATATCCTCCTGGACATGTGGGATGCTCATCTCATTCTTTTGGTGCAGTAGGCAAGGGAGAACCTCAGAGGGAACAGCACTCATGTGAGAAAGCTGTCGGCTTATGTGGCATTAGCTCTCTACCTCGCTTTTGCCTACTTCACACTCTGTCCTCTCTTCTACTAACTTATTGTTCTGTAGCATATTAACTGTGTTTTTTATTATTATTATTTTTTTTTTCTGTAGGTATGGAATATAACTACAGAAGTCAATGCCCAAATCCGGAAAAATGACATATTTATATGGACCTCAGGTGGAATTTTAGTTGTGTAAAATCCTCACAGTATAGTTGTCACCTACACAAAAGTATGTGGTCTTTCTAACAACAGTGACCCTGATGTTATCCTCACCATGGTTTCAACTTGTACTAGATTCAGGGACATTCAGTAACTTCATCATAATAGTGACCTAGTTGGCACTTCACTACCAGAGCCTCAGAATCAGAGCCTCAGAATCACTAGCTTTTTCAATCACTTTCCAATGCCTTCCCTCAGGCAATTCAGATGATCTTACCTTGGGAATACTCCTGCCTGTAGCTTCCCTAAACCATAGGATACATCACACAATACAGTACAAGGGTGCCCCAATTCCCATGTGAGATGACAGAGAGTTTCAAAAACTCTTTGGCACAGGCAGAACTCAGTATTTAAGGTATTAGCAACAACAAAGCAAGACGCCTGTCCTATATCATAAGAGGATATAGCAGAAGATATTTATGATATCATAAATATGATGTCAGAGCCAGAGCAATTCCCACCGCTGCAAGGGGAGATCTTTTGGGATCAACAAGGCATTCAAATAATTCAGTGACTGTATTTTTTTCAGAGACAATATATCTTCCTCCTGGATCCACAATGTTACCAACAACTAAGTAGGGGATGGCGCATGCTATGAAGGAGCTGCTGGAAAATCTGGTGAAACTGCACCTGCATGTGTGATTGTACCAAAGACTATTTCAGGGTCTGCATCTGGAACAGCCTGAGTTAATTAGCTGACACATGTACTCAAAATCAGATTCAAACCTGCTCATCAACCACCTTTGTCCTGATATTCATTCAAGCTCTCACCTAGCAAAGCCTACATCTTCACCCGCAGTAATGAATTGAGCATGTCATGTAGTGCTCCCAGCACTGAGGGCAGTTGTCTTAGGATTTCCCTCCTGCCTCCAATGAAGAGTCCTTGGCTCTGAAAAAGGGAAGCTGTGCAAACTATTCATATCTACCTACTCAGAATGGTCCCTTGGGCATGAGTGCCTGGGGAGACAACTGGTCACAATCTGCTCACTTAACATGAGGGAGGACTCCTAACAGCTCACTTGCACCCCCAGTGGTGTGTCTGGCTTCTTTCCCTGGCGTATCTGAAACACCTAGAGCAGTCTGAGAGCCAAAAGCACAGATATGAATGAAGTTGTTTAGTATGTGCCTCTTCTTAGGAGCAATCTCTCAGAGATACCTGGAGCAGTGCCTTAAATTCCTGGAAGACTGTGCTGTAATGGCAACAAACACAGCCTCTACACTTTGCCAACAGGACCATGTTAACAGGCTTGGTACTCAGCTCATGCCTGAACTGAATCAGAAACAGTTTGCCTTCCTGTGTCCATCTCTGGTACCTGCCAAGCAAGGTCAGAGCTACACGTGCCAGGACTGGGCTCCCATAAAATTGGGCAGTGGCCAGAAGCACCTTCCCAAATGGAGTTCTACAGATGCGTATATGCACCTTAGGCATTTGCACACATACAAAAATAAATAAATAAATAAATAAATAAATAAATAAATAAATAAATAAATAAATAAATATTAGCCTTTTTATTAGCTACTGTGATAAAGGCATCCACCATAAACACTGAGAAATAAGGTTCAATTTCTTCTCCTCCCACTTACATAGATATCCATTCTTCTCCTACCTCCTATCCACTATGATCCCCAGGGGAGAGCTTCTTCCTGAAGCAATGTCACTAGCCAAATAAAATAAAATAAAATAAAATATTAAAAATTAACATTTATTGAGTCCAAAAGAGAGCACAAGAAGAAATGGGAGTTTATAGCCTACTGCTTAGGGCACTTATCTGGCATTGGGAAAGTTGCTTGTATTTCTTGCCTGCAGGGCTCTTTATTTTTATATACAGTGACAGCACGTAAAGCACAGGAGTCCTGGGAGCAGGATGCTGAATATACAGCAACATTTCTTCCCCACTAACAAGGGCTTTCACCATTGGGTTATGCAGTAAGATTTGCCTGTGCAGCTAGGTCTCATTTATTTTGTTCATGTCGCCAACACATAGTAATTTGTCTCATCCCTAAAACCTTCAGAATACATTAGTGGGGAAAAAAAATCTACAGAAAAGAGGTAGAGGCACGTGGGTCCTGCTCAAATTACTATCCTATTCTTAATTACAAAATCTTGCAGACAGCACAGATAGAAGTTTTAAAAAATAACAATTCATCATAATGGTAGAGGAAATGTATTTACTTCTGGCTTCTTTATACCAAGAGCAATATCCACTAATAGAGATATATGTCACTGTTCTTATTTCTACTTTTTCACCCAAAAGAATCCCCAAGCAGAGGTGAAGGACACAGGTTTTTTAGCTCTATATAAATGACAAAAAAGCAGACCCTAACCCAGAGTATGATTAAGGTAATTAACTGCATCGAAATCAACAGAATAAAAGGAGGGAAACAGGTATCTGCACAATTTCAGACTGCTTTTCTCAGAGTTACTTTACCCAGAGAATTTATGTTTTCAACCCCGTTTTCAGATTATTCTGAGACAATCCAAACCAGATAAACCTTGAAGGCAAGACAGAGGTATCCAAAATTTGCTGGCTCAACTTACCCCATTGATAGAAGAATAGATTGTATAAATTAGAAGGGCAGAGGAAATCAAGACGAAATGGGGTATACAGAAGTAATTTGGGGGTTTGCTGCTTACCAGAAGGAGATAAGGAGGTCATATCACTTCCTTAAGAGGCACGTGTTGGTGGAGGCTGGCACCTTCACTACTAGTGACATCTCAGACAACAAAGTTTAGGAGTTTCCATCAAAAATTGTTGTTTGATATTGTTACTTAATGCTCAGCATAAAAGCAGAAAGAAACTCCAGATTTTTCTTGCAAACAAAAGAAGAGGGTTTCAGTTTTGGAAAATTAAATACTGGAGGTTGTGAGAACTTTAAAAATTATATCAAATTTAATAGGAAATGACATTTTTTTATTTCATAACAACACTTGGAAAAGGAAAGGTAATACTTCTTACTATTGCTGCCAAGAGACTGCTTTGTTATTTAGTCATCATCAGCACTGACAATCTTGTAATGTAAAGTACTCAACTCAGGAGACCAGCACTAGCGGTAAAATGCTCTAGTGGGACTCTACCAGATCACTTAATGAAGATATGCCACCTTTTTCCTGTTCTTGTACCTCTTTGTTTCACTAAGTCTATCAAACATTCCCTGTGTCCCTTACAGTGCAAGGAGAAAGTACGAAACTGCAAGATTGGGCTGTGCTAAAATCACACAGGCTGAACTTTCTCTCAACATGTCAAAGTCATTTTGTGTTAAAAGGTAAAGTGAGCTAATCTTTTTGAATTTTAAATTTCTCCACCTGGGTGGATCAACAAGA